AAGGAAAATGTGGTATATACACACCATGGAATATTACTCAGCCATAAAGAATGAAATTCTGCCATGTGCAGCAAAAAGGACGAGCTTGGGAAAATTATGTTGAGTGAAATAAGCCAGGCACAGAGGGAAAAATGCCACATGTCCTCACTCATAAGTGGGAGCTAAGAGAGAGAGAAGGAAGGAAAGAAAGACGACAGTGGTGCATTGGACCTGCAGAGGGAGAGAGCAGACCTAGGGTTCCGGAGTGCGGTGGGGGAGTGGGGAGGGGACATGGAGAATAATCCCAATTTATAGTGATGGGCATGAGCAGGGGCATTTCCTTAGAAGAGGCTGTGGGTTGGCGGGCACTGCTGCATCTCTATTATATGACATCATCTGCCTGTTGAACCCAAAACAACTCTTTCCACACACATAGTTGTAGAGTTGCCCCACCTCACATGAACCAGCTTTCATATGGACAGCCACAAACGGGAGACCAGCCAGAGTGGCATGTAGCTACTGCGTCCTGTCCACAGCGCCTCTTATCAGTGTCTGAGTTCTTTGTCTCCCCACCATTCTGCCATCTATGGGCTGAATTATTTAGTATATTAAAATACCCAACTGCTATGGCACAAAAACAAAACAACTACTCAACAGTCTTGATTTTTAAAAGGGAGGAGGCAAAGAATTCTCAAGGACAGCAGTATAGTCTAGGATAATTTAAGTAGCATATAAAGTCAGAGTTGAACTTGAATAGACTATAACTTGTCTTAAAAATAATACTAATACCAGACATTCTCTATTTATATTGCTTATGGAATTGCCTTGTGTTTATTAAATTCAAATGGCAGCTACATCAATATCTTTTCTGGTTTTATTGACAGCACATTTACTGTAATCTCTTTAAATTTAAAAAAGAAAATGTTGATATAAACCCAGGTAAAATTGACACAAATTAAAGCAACTTTCTTTTTATTTAAAAATCAGTGACCTGAAACATGAAGAATTGCCTATCAGAAAAAGAAAGAGAAACACACACTCCAAAAACCCTTAATACTTTCTAAATTGCTTAAATTAAAAAAATGAAAGCCCTTGACTTTGCCCTGTAGCAGTCTTGAATTACCTACTCTAAGGTCTTGAGTACTTTCCTGAGGAAACCCAAGAATTGGTTAAAGAGTTTAAATACCACTTAGTTTATAGTTTTGCCATGGTTCAACAGTTAGCCATTTAAACTCAAACCTACAGTGCTTGCACATAAGATCTGCCCCATGGATATTTGTTAGTTCACAGGTGAAAATGTAGAGTTTCCTCAGGAAATTTGCTGCTTCAATGAATGCTGGAGGTTTCTGGGATGACTCCAACACCTCCACAGAAGTACAAAGCTCTTGACTATTTTTCATGCACCTGAAAGTAAACCACTTCATTTCAGAGAGAGTGGGATGGTCACATGTTGCCCCCATGCCATTTTAGGAACAAAATTTTAACAATTTCTTATTTAGGGGGCTGGCCAGTTAGCTCAGTGGGTTAGCGCATGGTGCTGATAACACCAAGGTCCAGGGTTCGATCCCTGTACCAGTCAACTGCCAAAAAATAAAATAACTTCTTATTTGGGAGAAAGAACTTCCAGAAATGGGTGACAGTAAGAATGAATAAGACTGGTAAACATAACATTTTGCAAACGAAGACATCCATTTCATTCTCAGGCTGTTCATTACGTTCTTTCTCCCCACATCTCATGGCCAAAGCCCCATGGAGGTTAAATCCCTACCTACCCTTTCTTTCCTTTCCCCTCTATTTTCTGTAAGTAAAGAAGTTGTTCTAATAGAATTCTCGGTCCCAACCTGGTCTAAAATCTCCACTTAATCTATAAATACCTAAATAAGGGGACATCATAGATTGCTAATCACATCTCTGGAATGATTATTAAAATATGAGAAAAGCTATATGGTTTGCTTATATATCAACATATATTCTTCCTATTTTTTCTAGCTTTTTAAAAAAAATGCATCATATTCTTCATCCCCAGAAATATTAGAGTACTATAAAAGGCCTGTAAGAATACTGACAAGCTCTAAAGCTGCTGGGACAGAGGGGTCTCTTCTCTATTTTTGAATCTCCATTAAAGCAAACAAACAAACACAGTAAAAATTCCACCCTTTGCACTTGTCCAGGCCACAAGATACAACCCAAGCTACATGTTGAAATCTCGAAAAACTTTTTAAATGTTCATTATATTTTACCTCTAGTTCCCTTCTATGAATCTGTTCTGCAGGAAATAATCTGAAATAAAGAAAAATTGACAAAGGTGTTTGCCACAATGTTATCCATGATGGTAAGATCTGAATAACCTGTGTTGGGTATGAATAGTTCACCAGTAGGGAAGAGGTGAGGTAAATTATGGAACATTCACTTCAATGGTCTATTAAGCCAATTGTAAAAATTAGACAAAGGTGTTTGCCACAATGTTATCCATGATGGTAAGATCTGAATAACCTGTGTTGGGTATGAATAGTTCACCAGTAGGAAAGAGGTGAGGTAAATTATGGAACATTCACTTCAATGGTCTATTAAGCCAATTGTAAAAATTATGATTGTAAGGCTGGCCAGTTAGCCCACTTAGGAGAGCATGGTGCTGATTATAGCAAGGGCAAGGGTTTGGATCCCCATACAGGTCAGCAGCCAAAAAAAAAAATTAGAGTTTATAATAAAATAGGTTGGGGGAGAACTTCTGATATTATATTAAGCTAGAAATCTATAGAACATTGAAATAGTAAGCAAAATTGTGGGTATGTATACATACACACACACGGTTCAAAGTGTGTCAAGAAATTAAGATCAGAAAAAAAAAACTGGAAGGAAATGCACTAGAATGTTAAACAGTGGTTATCTACACTACTGGAACCAAAGATGGTTTGTTTTTTTATCTATAGTTTATTTTCCAAATTTTCTGTAGTATGCATATTTTGTTTTTATAATTTAAAGAAATTTCATTTTTAGAAAAGAAATGCTTAACATTTCTTGGTTAGGGTCCTATTTGGAAGCAAGAATACATCCCATGTCAGCTTTCAACTTCAGGTTTCACCTTTCTTCTTTTAGTTGTCTTGATAAAGTGAAGTCTCTTGGGTTCAGTGATTGTACAGAATAATTAAAGACAATCTCTGGAAAGATGCTGCTGTGTTGTCGTTATTTATCTAAGTAGACAATATCTCCTTTTCGGAAGAAGTTCATAAAAAGAAAAAAAGAAACCTTAACTTTTTTTTTTTTTTTTTTTTTTTTTTTTTTGTCTTTTCCTTCCTTGACTGCCACAGTGGTAGCAGGTGCAGTTTTTGTAGATTTTCTAGTCCTCCCCCACAACCCTTCAGATGTCAAAGGTAGTTAATTAGCAAACCACAGTTGCAGGTGGTTTTCAAGGAGAAGGGAGTTTAGGACAAAGGAATAAAGCTTCATAAAACCAGCTTATGATATCTTTAAAAACATAAATCCGTGCCTTTGTAGTTCTTACTCCGACAGCCGCTCAGCTCTCAGAGGCACTCTATCAGCTTCCCCTGTGTTCCAGCCACATAAGCTCCCCAAGCAATTACAGAGAGAAAAAGGGTTTGTGCCACAGCCGGGATCTACTGTAATAATGCAGGCCACCTGTGTTTTCAGAACGGAGAGAACTCTTTCGAAAATAGAAAAAGCGAAGTGCTGAGTGGAACTGTGGAGAGCCATGGCAAATTATCACCAGTGTTATTCATTAAGAGAGAAAGTGATGCTGACAAATCTACAGTGAAAAGTAAAAGAAACCTTGCTTCATGAGACACGTCAAAGTGAGAAAGCAAAGGATAAAGCTTTTACAGACACTGTAAACCTTAGTGCAACACGCTGCTGCTGGCTCTGATAGAAATAGTGTCACTGGGGTGGCCAGGGACGTTCTTTGCAGCATCTCTTTTCCCTTCTCAAACCTCTTTCCTGACTTCCTCTGTCTCCCCTTTTTCTTATTCTTTTCCAGGGAGAACTCAAAGGTACTTGGCCATGTCTCACCCATTCCAACAGTTCTAGGGGAAACTTCAGGGAAAATGAAAATAGCTACACTATCCAATTTTCTTTTTTCTGACATATTTTCTATTTTCTTCTCAAACTCTCTGCTTGAGGGAACATGGCAGGAATGAGACCCTAGAAGTTAGCAGCTGAGTTCCGTCCTTTCATATGGTCACACTACAATGGGCAAGACTACCATAGGCTGGTATTTCCCAACCAAGTCTGGTGGGGACAAGTTACTTCAGAAGCATTGGAAGCCTTCATCTAAGGGAAAGAGAAACTACATCTGCTGTACTGTCTGCTGAATTTTAAAACCCACGTACATCAGTTAATATTTTTAAACCTGTTAGATCTATTGTATTCAAGCTGAATGTGTGAAACAGAGGATTTCAATCAAAGGTGAGGAGCACGTCAAAGCTTATTTCCAGTCTTATGCTTTAGGGCTTTGCCATTAACTTTAATAGTAACCGTATGTGTTAGTCCAGGTCCTTCTATCTGGGTTCGTACTTCCATCCATTCATATACAACCTGTGGTTCTGTTGAGAAACAATTGAATATTTAAACCTGCGTGTAGTTTGTAGTGATCCTTTCCAAAAACAACTTTTTGGCTTTAGCTGCATAATGGGGAAGGCCTAAACTGTCTTAGAAAATCATGTATGATTTTGCATTGCCTCCAAAGAAAGTCTTAGTAGGATTATATGACTGAACAGGCCACACATACCTCTCTCTCCTCAAATTGGTCCTGAATCAAAATTGTTTCTTTAAAAAAGGGACTTAAGAAACTTGTGGTGCTCCAATAACGTTATTTCTTGAGTTATTTCTAATGTGACACCACACCTCCAGAAACATGTGGACATTTCAGAATAGGGCAGAATCTTGATAGTGTCCCCACGTGGTTGCCTACATTTTCTTATATAATTTTAAATGGTAAATCAGCCTCAAAATATTTTATTTTTGGATTTCCCATATGTTCATTTTCTCTCTTTCCACATATGTCATAGGCTGAAGAACAGCACAAGCGAAAGCTGAAGCATTAATGAAATAGGCAGATTGATCAATTCTGCTTCCTGGGGTCATCCCCCGAATGTGCCGTGAGAAAATGTGGGCACTCTGCACTGCAGTTGAGCCACGGACGCCCACCGAACACCTGCAGCACGCCAGGCTTTTCTGGGTGCTGTTTCGCATACCGGACGTTTCCATATTGCATGAGTGTCACACTTGATGTCGGAGCAGAGACCACCACATACTTATGATGCCCAAAGATTATGATCAGGTGGCAGACTTAAAGCAAACTCTGAGTTTGAGAACAGAAGAGTCAGCAAGAGCATAATTCATCAAGTTGCTGCCTATTACTTCTCCCTCCCCCAAGCATGCTTCCATCCACACCATATGCCTTAATTTTATCCCAAAAGGCAATTTGCACATACTCATACTTCTAACTACTAACAAGCTACTGTAGCATGTACTCCTTTCCCCTTTTAGACTGAAGCCTCCCCCAGCTTGACAAATCTGTCCAATTACTGCAAAAACCCCTGTTGTCTGAGTAATGTGTCCACAGGCCTTCAACTCCATCTACCCTGGACTTACCCTGTCCTCATCTTTATCGTTCCTTGCTCCTGATCTTCTCAGTTGTATGGTTAATATCAGCTTGGGGTTTTTTTGTAGGTTTGGTACCTATTACATGTTCTGGAAATGGTGATCAGGAGTTCAGTCAGTTGCAGCTGTGCAAACTCTAGTTCAGCAGATAAAGCTGTGAATGGTGGCAGGGAAGTTGGGAAAAGGAGAATCAGTAGAATTGTCTTGGTTCAAAATTAACCTTGGGGCCGGCCCTGTGGCTCACTCGGGAGAGTGCGGTGCTGACAACACTAAGGCCATGGGTTCGGATCCTATGTAGGGATGGCCGGTTTGCTCACTGGGTGAGCGTGGTGCTGACAACACCAAGTCAAGGGTTAAGATCCCCTTACCGGTCATCTTTAAAAAAAAAAATTAACCTTGGGCTGGCCGGTTAGCTCACTTGGTTAGAGCACGGTGCTAATAACTGTCGGGCCTCCCTGAACCAGAGGCCGACAAAACTGAGCGGGAAGAGACCCCGGTCCAGCCGGGGGTCCCTTGTGGGGCTGAGCGGGATGATGAGTGTCGCTGGCACGGCCCTTCCCCCCCAGGACCTTCCTCCCCGGGGGCCGAGAAAGAACACCACCGAGCCAGGAGAGTGGTCAAAGCCGGAACTCCGTTTATTTGCAGGGCGGCACAGCTTATATAGGGAAAAAGGGCAGGGCGGGTTTTGATATGAGAGATCAAGCAAAGAGCCAATAAGAAGGGCTTAAAAGGATAGGGTGAGGTGGTGGGGAGGCTTTACGCGAATACGGAACTAAAGTTGCTGAATCACTGGGACCCGGAAGGGCGAGGCAGGCAGCTACGTGCCGTTGAGCACTAGTGAAATGGTGGCCGCGGAGCGCATGAAATGGCACCCGTGCGCGTCAGGGCGCATGCGCGCAAAGTTATGCCCAACATCTCCCCCTTTTGTTTTTGTATGCCGGGGTGGGACCTCTGTCTTAGGTTGTCCAGGTCTGTCTGGATCTTACCCATCATTGAGCATCACACAGCTTGTGATAATTTTTGGGTGTGGCCCCTGTCTTAGGTTGCCCTGGATTTGCCAGGGTCTTACCCGTCTTTGGGAGCTCACACAGCCTGATGGGGAGACTTAGTCGTAACTTTGGGGATCTTGAGGGGCCAAGCGCTGATAATGAACTTGTACATTCATAAGTTGAACATTAAGGTCAAGGGTCAGGATCTCTGCAGGCCAGCTGCCCCCCCCCCCAAAAAAAATTAACCTTTATTGTTCTTGGTGGTGGTTCAGGTTGTGCTTTATGTCTATAGATCTCCCAATAGCCTGTGTCTGGTTTTTGCACCAAGGCACAGTTTTATGGGGATTAATTGAAGAGAATAATAGTTTAAATGCCAATACTGGATCTTTTGCAAATATTGGCTATATCCTCCCCCACCCCTCTCTCTATCCACCTCACCCCATTCATCTGAGCACATCTGAAGGATAACTCCTTAAAGAGAATCAACGGGACTGCTTCACTATCTTATTTTTTTATTGAAACATTATTGGTTAAACATATTTGTGGGGTACAGAGTTGAATATCAATATCTATGTACAATATGTGATGATCAAATCAGGACAATTCATATATACGTCATTACAAAGCGTGATCATTCTTTGTGACTCAACCCATTTCTCACCAGCCCCCTCTCCCTTTCCCACCCCTGTAACCACAGTTCTGTTCTCTCCTTTTGAAAGTTCAACATATTATTGTGATTGTTATATCTTTCTTTTTTTATTTGTTTTTAAGCTCCCACTTATAAGTGAGGTCATGTGGTATTTCTCTCTCTGTGCCTGGCTTATATCACTTAGCATAATCTTCTCCAAGCTCATCCACGTTGCTGCAAATGGCAGAATTTCATTCTTTTTATGGCTGAGTAGTGTTTCATTGAGTATATATACCACATTTTCCTTATCTAGTTATCTGTCAATGGACATTTAGGTTGGTTCCATCTCTTGGCTATTGTACATAGAGCTGCAATAAACATGGGAATGCAAGTTTCCTTCGACATGATGATTTCCATTTCTTTGGATATACACCCAGCCGTGGCATTGCTGGATCATATAGCAGTTCTATCTGTGGTTGTCTGAAGAACCTCTATACCATTTTCCATAATGAATGCACAATTTACAATCCCACCAACAGGGAAGGAGAGTTCTCCTTTCTCCACATTCTCACCAGCATCTGTTATTCTCTGTCTTTTTGGTAATGGCCAGTGTAACTGGGGTGTTTCATTATCTTATGAGCTTGGCTTTCAAACTAAGCAAGTTGATTGGGAGTGAATCATTTCGGTTTAGACAGAATTGCTTCTATCTTTGGTGAACCTGCTTAACCTTATCCTGCCAACTACAAAAAGTGGTAACAAGCATTTTAACTAAAACTTGTTATCACCTGTTTTGTCTTCCCATATTCACTGATGGAAAACCACCCCTACGAATTCAGCTACAGTGAGCAAGGGAATAATTGAGGGGCAGTCTGTGCCTTGACAAGCCCTTGCCAATAATCAGCTCCCCACCCACCTGCCATTTGACACCCACTTTAGTTCCCTTTAATGGGCTTGCTGAAAATCAGAGCCTATTTGTTACTTTGAGAAAATAACACCACAGGCAGTTATCATCTCTTAATAACTGAGATTAAATAACTTCATCAGATATTTCTCTAAGGCGAGCCCTGTGGGAGTTAACAGGTACAGGTGAAACACATGAGCCCAAGTAAGACTCCAGTGGGAAACCCTGGGTAGCCAGGAGCTTGAGGACCTACTCCAAGTGCAGCAGAGACACTATGAGCCTAGGAGGGAGGGTCGGGCCAAAGGAAGTGAACTGCTGGAGCACAAGCCTCCAGCTAACTCTGCCCATGTACCCAAAGTCCAGCCCTGCTCACTACCACAGGGGGCTGCTGGGCTGACCGCACTATGATCCAGGCTGTCTTCCACCTCTTCTGTAACAGTCAAGAGATGAAGGTGGGGCTGCATTTCTTAAGAGGGACTGAGAGGGCAGTGAGTACAGTGAGGTGTATTGCTAGGGCTAGGGCTCACAGACCCTTCAAACCCGTTGTATAGACTGGGTCACAAACCCCTCACCTGCAGGTTCACAAGCTAGGTGATAGGAAAAAGATCCAGGGAGCTGCGGATAAAAATTAATAGGCTTTATTCAGATGCAAGCTCAGGTAGCTAGCAGCAGCCACCCTAGTGGCCTCCCGGGGCATCCTGAGGGCCCTGTGGATCAGAGCCGTTTGTCCTTTATACTTAAGTCCAATACCCAGGAACATCTGGGTGTGAGTCAGACAACCCAGGAACACCTGGGTACACATGCACAGTTATTTACATCAAATGCTTGGCAAGATTCTGAACCCTCCCACCCCCACCCCCACCCCAAGGGACCCTGACCATTTACTTTTCATTTTCCCTGAAGATGTCCATTTAGTAAATGTTCATTCTGAATTTGCAGCCTCCGCCTTCAGGACAGAGCAGAATGAAAAGCAAAACTTCTAGCCATTAATTGGTCACTCTCCCCACCCCCAACTCACCCACCCCCTCCCAAGCCCAGTGTGAATTTACCAAAAAGACCTCTACCTAGGACCCAGGCATGGTGTCTTAGGACCCATGCCACATACATTCCTATGTGCCTCCCTCCTGCACAACCCATCCTTAAACAACATCACCACAATCAGGTGGATTTCTGTCTCATTCCTATCCACAGTCAACACTGCTGACTATCTGTGTGGGTTACTGGAACCACTTCCAGGTGATTGGTCTATAAATAGTCTCACCTGGGTGGATACTTTTACTTTTTGTTTTTCATGTTATTTTTGTTCCAGTAGGCCAATTGGGTATAAATATTTTGTAAACAGGCCAATTCACCTGGCTATTCTTTAACCCAATTTTTGTCATTCCTGATGATATGATCTGATTCACTTTTACAATGAAAGCAGTGATCACTGGAGTCATTATGTTAGAGGCAGCAGGCTGGGGCTTTGTCACCCCCAGTTATCCGGATCTTATCAGATGCAAATGCCTGAAGCCACAGGTGATGTGCTCCTCACCTCCTGTGTTTCCTCTCATGTTGAGCCTTACACTCTGGGGCTGAGTCTTCCTCTTAATAGCTCAGTCCTTGCCAGGCCTCACCCCATAGGGCCCCTCCAGTCTCTCGTACCTCTTTGGTTTCATTTCTGGACTCTTCCGTTGCAGGTACAGTGGCTTTTTGTCACCCCTCCCACGCTGGGCTTCCGCAGCTTTTCCCTGCCCTAGGGCCTGACCATGCAGCCTTCTCAAGACACCTGTAACCCATTCACCTTTAACCCATTAGCTGCTCTCCAGGGTGCCATGACCTGTGGGGTAGGCAGCTCTGACCTTCTGCAACCTAGCACGCTTGTTCCTGCCACTCCCATCCCCACGTTTCCATGGCCACCTGGCTTCACCCCGAGTCACTCACCTGTCCCTTGCAATGCTTTCTTTTTCTTCATGGCACTTATTATTACCTGATATTAGATATTCACTTGGGTACTTGTCATTTCATTTCTAGACAGAGAATTTTTCTGTCTTACTCACTACTCTGTCCACAGCTCTAAGAACAGTGAGGTCTATACCGGATGTTTTAAATATGTGTATGGAGTGAATATGTGAAAGAGTGTGCTTTCCTCTCCACAGCCAGTGGCACTGTCCCCAACGGGAGCTCTCCTGGGAACACTGTGGAGACCATTAATTTTATGAACCCATACCTCCTTTTGCTAAAGCAAAAAACTCTTGTCCCTCTGCAGGGCCCAGAGCTGGGGTGCAGTGGATAGC